ACTTTCAGCTAGTTCCCAAGGCAACATTTCTCATTTTCATTATGTTTAACTGTTTACTGAAAGACAAATTTATAAAAACTATATAAACATAAAAACAATAAAGATGACAAAAACACAACAAAATTGCAAAAACTGTAACTAAATTAAAATGAAAACAGAAAATATAAAACTAAAAATATTATTCAAAGTATTAATAGAAACGTATTAATAACACTGCACATATTACATCAAACTCTTATGAGATTAAGAAAAATCCTGCTTCATAATGACCCTTTTAACATTTGAAAATTAAGTTTTGAAAGTAAAAGTCCATGGAAAATGATGATAAAAATTAGCACAAGGCCTTTAACATCATCACATATGAACAATACTATTTTATTATCACTGAGATACTACTATAGTTTCCGTTAATATTTTGAATTAATTTTTATTTTTATATGGTTTCAGTTTCATTTCTATTAAAACCTTTAGTCATTTGTTACGTTTCTGTCATTTTTATTAGTTTTATAATGTCTAAAGTTTTTATATATATTTTTTTAAATTGTAGGTTTATAATTTTTTTGTTTTAATTATTTTAGTACATCAAGTTAAACTAAATGAAAATGACAAATGTTGCCTGGTCAAATAAACAGAAATAAAATAAGTTTAAGGTTTCTTATATTTTATTTCAGTTAAAGTTTATTTTATTTCAAGTAACAGTTGTTTAACCCTGCATATGATCAGACCTAATTGTTGATATCTTCGGCTCTCAGTGTCACAGACACGCTCACAGTCGGCTGCAAGTCCGGAGGGACAGACTGCAGGCTGGGCTTCACTCGGTTTGGGGGCTGCAGGTTGAAAGTGACCTCTATAGTGGAGGGATGTTTAGTGAGATCAGCGCTGCTCTTTATTAACCCGGCCAGACCGACGTCAGTGCTGCCGAGAAACCGGTTTCCACAGCAGAGATGGATCTGTGTGCAAAACACATACAACTTCATCACTATTACTAAAGACTAGAGCTGTCGATTTAACGTTCATTTGGCACAATTAATTATGGAAAAATAATGTTTTCAAATTAAGGATGTTCATTTCTGTTATTTTTCCTAACTGACAACCGACGCTCGTTAACCGATTATTAACCGTTAACCGACAAGATTATTTTAAATTAGAACTGAATTAAATTAGAAAGGATAAGTGTCTGTGTCCCGTTAAAAAATACTAACTTATTTCAGTTATTTTTCCTAACCGACAACTGACGCTCATTAACCGATTATTAACCGTTAACCGACAAGATAATTTTAAATTAGAATTGAATTAAATTAGAAAGGATAAGTGTCTGTGTCCCGTTAAAAAATACTAACTCATTTCGGTTATTTTTCCTAACCGACAACTGACGCTCATTAACCGATTATTAACTGTTAACCGACAATATTATTTTAAATTAGAATTGAATTAAATTAGAAAGGATAAGTGTCTGTGTCCCATTAAAAAATACTAACTCATTTCGGTTATTTTTC